TTTTAGAACAGAAAAAGTTTATTGGTCTCAAAGATCAAGAATTGACTGGATCAAATTAGGCGATAAAAATAACAATTTTTTCACACTATGGCCACCATTAGGAGATATCAAAATAAAATAGTGAGAGTTAAAATTGAGACCGGAGTATGGCTGAGTGAAGCCACTGACATTAAAAACCACTTCACCGAAACTTATAAACAGAGGTTCAAGTCTTCAGGTACTAGTGGAGTTGAGGAGTTTATAAGTGATCTAGACGAAACTATTACGGATGATCAGAATGCTCTCCTTGTCGAAGAGGTCTCTAATGCTGAAATAAGAGATGTGCTTGAGTCTATCAAGGATCTCAAGGCGTCGGGTCCTGATGGTTTTCAAGAAATTTTGGCCCATAATTGGGGACTATGTATCCAATGTAGTTAAATCTTTCTTCCATAATAGGGGGGGGGGGGAACACGATGGGATATTAATCAAACTTTCATCACTTTGATTCCCAAGAAGAAATACCCGGAAAGTGTAAATGACTATAGGCCAATCAGCCTCTGTAATGTCATTTATAAAATTATTTCAAAAATCCTTGCAAATAGGATTACTAAATTTCTTGACAATATCATCTCTCTTTTTCAAAGTGCTTTTTTGCCTAATAGACAAATTACAAATAATATTCTTATATCTCATGAAATGATCCATTCTATAAAAAAGAAAAAGGGGTCCTCAAGAATCATGGCATGCAAAATCAACATGGAGAAAACTTATGATAAGTTGGAGTGGGATTTTATAGAAAAGGTTCTCAAAAAATTTGGTTTTCATGAAAAATGGATATCTTGGGTCATGGAATGTATAAGAACAATGTCTTATCAAATTTTAATTAATGGAAGCCCAACATATGAGTTCAAGCCAAGTAGAGGAATTAAACAAGGAGATTATCTCTCCCCTTATATGTTTGTACTTTGTGTTGAAGCTCTTTCAAAGAAGCTAGAAAAAGGAAGCAATTGCAAGTACAAAACCAAATTGGTTGTAAGCTTTCTAGAGGAGGGCCAAAGATTCCCATTCTGTAATTTGTAGACGATTGCATTATTTTTGCAAAAATGGCAATTCCTACTTGTTTGAAAATTAAAGAAATCTTGACCAATTTCGCAAAAGCCTTTGGCCAGTGCCCAAATTTTTTGAAACCTTCAGTTTTATTTTCAAAAAATGTTCCATTCAAATTCAAAAAGCCTCTCTCTAAAATGCCCAATCCAAAAAGCTATTTGGGTGCGCCCATAATTGCAACAAGAGTAACTAAGGATACATTTGTCGGTATAAAGGAGAGAATGGCTCAGAGACTGGCAAATTAGAAAAATAACACATTATCTTTAGCGGGGAATGCTGACTTTAATTAATCTACGCTACAAATATGATGCCAAACTTTATTATGAGATCATTTAGAATTCGAAGAAATACCATAGAAGATCTTAACAAACTCCAGAGAGTTTTTTTATGGTCAAACTCAAGTGAGAGAAAACCTGTCCATCTCTTGAATTGGGAAAAAGGCTTGTACCCCAAAAAGATGGGGGGGATTTAGGTTTAAGAAACCTTCATTGGGTAAATGAGGCAATTCTAGCAAAACTTGGATGGAAAATTTCAAGTGAGGGGGAAAACCTATGGGTTAAGTTCATTAAAGATAAATACTTGATGAGAGAAAATTTTTGGGATGTCAAGATTAGAAAGAATGTCTCTTGGGCCTAAAGAGGCATTCTCCTTGCCCAGGATCATATTAAAAAAAAGGATCTCATTGGTTAGTAGGTAATGAAAGATTAATCAAATTTTGGAAAGATAATTGGGTGTTTGGGATACCTCTAACCAAAGAAATAAGCAATGGAAATAATGAGAATAATAATAGGTATGTCTCAGACTTGATTCATTATGAAAGAAAATGTTGGGCTGAAGATAAAGTTGGTAGGATAGTTTCTAAACGGATTTGGTAGATAATAAAACCAATCTTCATCTCCTCAAACTTAGAGGATAAATTAATTTGGGGCTGCAATCCTAAATGTGAATTTACCATCAAATCGGCATATTCTCTAAAATGCTCTTGCATGGTTAAGCAAAATGATTTGAAGAATTGGCTTACTAATGTTTAGAAAATAAATTGCCCTCCAAAAATAAATTTTTTTTGTACATTTTTCTCTAAAACAGACTTCTTACAAAAAATCATCTTAGAAAGAGAGGCTTTGACATAGATGATTCCTATTGTTTTTGTGGGGAAGTTAAGGACACCGACCATATTTTTAGTTACTACAATTTCTCTAAACAGATCTAGGCTATAATCCCTCTATTGAGGGTCCTAGTGAGAATGATCAATCTATAGTGGAGTGGTGGTTTCATATTGGAAAGAACGAAGGGGATGGGAGTGCTCATATAAGAGAAAACTAGCATTTATTTTGTGAGCAATTGGAAAAATAGGAATCAAAGAGTTTTTAATAACAAGTTTGCTCCCCCTCTGATAGTCTTGGAAAGGGCGATAAATCTTTTTTCAGAAAATTTAGGGGGAATCAAAGAATCCACTGGCGAATGCAATGCTAAGCATTGGAAGCCTATAGTATAGAAATCCCTAAATATCAACTATATCAAGATTAATTTCGATGCTTCTCGCAATAGTGACAGGAACTACTCAATAGCAAGTATTGCTCGAGACCACCTTGAAAAGTCTTAGACTTAAAAGCACTTAAGTTAGGGGGTTTCCACCATTAACCAAGCTGAAGCTTGGGTAGCTTGGGAAGCCCATAATATGGCTTGGAATTTCAGAGAGTCTCTTATCATTATTGAAGGCGACTCCAAGCTCATTATTTCATGTCTCAACCAGAAAGCTATCCCTCCTTGGAACATAACTAACATTATTAAAGAATGGGTTCAGATGAAGAGTATGATCAACAAAGGATTAAGGTACAAACACATGTTTTGGGAGGTTAATCAGGCTGCAGATTGGTTGGCTTGTGAGGCACTTTCTTCTTCTTTTACTTCTTTGTTCTTTTAATCTTTCTTCCCTCCCCCTCCTCTTTCTCTCTTATTTGTTTTGCTGATTTCTGGGACATGCTACCCCGTTTTATAAAAAAAGGGGTAAATCTCTTAAACTACCCCTAATGTTCACAAAATTGACAAGCGGTACCCTTATTGTTTAGATGTTGTCTTGCGGTACCCTTAAGTTTTTTGACAATTGTCATTGTTGTTAAATCGGGATGGAAAAGTTGATTTTACATTTTTACCCTTCTGTTAACTCTCACTCAGGTCAAACCCATTTTGCAAATTACTTTCATCGTTTACTAACGTTGTCCATCAATGGTGATCCAGAATTTCTTTTTCTTGATGGCTCCAGTGTCCCATTATCTCACCATCTATGCAGAATCGCTAGAATCCTCTATTAAAGCCCACTTGCGTAGTCTTGAGACGCTTCTTTCGCCCATGCAGGCTGCTCCGCCCAGTATAGCCTGGATAATTTTTAGTTGTACATCTTGTACTCTTGTTATCAGCACCCGTAGTTGTCAAATGCAAAGTCTTATTGCAACTATTTACAAAAGATGATTCAAACTCGTGTTCTGTGCCCCTTGAACGTGTCACACAAAGAGACAAAGTCGAGAGATTTTCCTAGAAGACTCGAACTAGACTCAATAGAGCTAAGAGCAGTGCTATGTAGAAACAAAAGTGTTTGGCTCATTCATTAGAGTTGAAGCTAAGATTAATCTGATTTTCATTTTCGTCCACGATCGTCCTTATTATATTCATATTACAAACAAAACCAAAATGTTGCCTGCAATAATACACGAGAGGTTCTCGCAGGTGCGCAATAGGTTGGTGGTGGTTGCTACTTTTGCTGTTGCGCAATAAGCTGCTAGTGCTTGAAAATGCGTCTTGAGCATACTCCTCCAATTGGCTCTTCGTTGAGGTCAACTACTGGGAGGTTCTCGTAGTTGACAAGTGGTACCCTTAACTGCTGCAAATGACTGAACAGGGGAGGGAAAGCGTGAAGAAGAAAAAAGAAATAACCTGGGGAGAGATTAGGGTGATAGGAGGTTGCCACCAGGTTCAGATTAGGGAGAGAGAGAGAGAGAGAGAGAGAGTAGTTGGAGATGAAAGGGGTTTGCCGCCACCTCTATTCTCGTTGTCGTTTGATGGGTCAAAAATGATAAATAGTGAAGAATCTGATTTTGTTGGTGATGTTGCGAGATCATGTTGGGAGTAATAAAACAACTATGTGGGAGAGCAAAGGGACGGTCAGCTTTCTTGGCCCATGTAGGCTGCTCCGCCCAGTAATAAAACAACTATGCTTCTTCTGAATAGAAGAAGAGAAACCTTACCGGGTATGCTTCTTCGGAGGACTCGTTCTGCGATCCACAGATTACAAAGTAAAGATGCAAGTGGTGGCGATGGCCAATAAAGATCGAAAGTGGTTGGATATAGACGACGACAGTGGTGGCGATGGCAGTGGAGAGACGGGGTGTGAAATGGTTGCAGAGTAGTTTGTTGTAACTCTTGTCGGGGAGAGGGACGAAGGGAAAAATTGAATTTTGAAGAAAATTTATACATCACATTGTGTTATGTGTGTATGAATTTCAACAAAATATTAACGGATATTAATGACAAGTAAAACTAATTAATTGTCACAAAACTTAATAGTGCAGCAAGACAATATCTAAACAGTAAGAGTGCCATTTGTGAATTTTGTAAATAATAGGGATAATTTAAGAGATTTATCAAAAAAAAGATGATTCTTCTGCCGGGTCCCATTCTTCCAAATGAACCGTCTTTTGGAATATCAGGATATTTTCCTTATGGAGGCTAAAAAAACATCATTCCAACACTTCAGTTTGAATTGAAGAAATTTGCGGGAGATGCGAAGTCTGCGTGCGCCGTAAGCGTATTGCGCACCTAAGAGCTGACTCGATTGTTCTTTCCAGCTCCGACACCACCACGTGTAAATGGCAAAAAAATACTCGAGCGTGATATTTTGAGTCGAGTAAGATTACTCTCTCTCTCTACTCCAAAATCTACCTCTTTCTCTCTCTAACATTCTCTCTCCCTAAGCGCTTTCGGTTGGTTTGTAGCTAAAATTCGCTAGACCTTACCAGCAACTTACGCCACTCGTTATATGAAGACCATCAAAAGTTCAAAACTCCTCTCCGTTCAGAACGCTAGGCTCTCCATTTCTTTCCTTTACTTACCTGTCCCTCCTCAGAAATACATACAGTTGTAAAGAATAAAACCCTAATATTATCTCCATTTTTCTTCTCCAAGACTAGGGTACTATTTCATCTGTTGTAGCTCTTTTCTAGTCCATTTTGCATACGTAGGAGTACATACATTTGTGGGTTGAATGGTTTTGGGGAGATTTGTGTTTGGTTTGGTTTCTCTTGTCTGATTTCGTGTTTTTATTTTCTGGATTTGTCTCAGTTTGGGGGGAAATTGTGTTTTTGCAAGTGTTTGCACGTTTTTGGATCATTTGTGTAGATGGGTTGAAGGGAAGCTGAAACCCAGAAGGGATTTAGAAGAAAAAAAAAACGATTACTTTTGGGTGGAGTTGAGAGGAAATATGGAGTGGGATAGTGATTCAGATGGAAGCGGAGATGACGAGGGCTTTTTGTTGAATGATGGGGGACCGCTGTCGTTTACAATTGGGAGCTTGCTTCAGACATCTCCGTGTGGGTTCGTCGTTACGGATGCTTTGGAGCCTGACCATCCTATTATTTATGTCAATACTGGGTTCGAATTAGCTACTGGATATCGAGCGGAGGAGGTCCTTGGACGGAATTGGTAAGTTATCTTCTCATTTGCTTTGTAATATATTTGACTTTTTTTTTTTAATTTTGGTAGATTTGTTTATTATTAGTATAATTATTAGTTTTTGTTGATCTAAGGATATTTATTAATTAATTTTCTGGATTTGGAGATGGAAGTTGATTATATGGTTTTGCTCTTTTGTTTACATTAGATTTAATTATGGATTCCTATCAGGTTATAGTTAGGTTAACTCTAATGTTTCAAGATGATTGACATTTCAGCTTGGCATTTTTTCTTTAGTAGTTGTCAGTTAACTGTTGGTGAATATTTTGGGCATATAAATTGAATAAGCCATTGGCAAAATAGGCGTAACTGCTTTTTATTGCAGGGACTTTACTATTGGGAAAGGTATACATAAACTTGTTAAATAGTAGGTTTCTTTAGATTGAATGTTACCATCAAGGACCTATAATTTATTGTGGGTAATGGAAAGACCTTCATATGACCTAATTGGTTTCTTTGGGTTGCATGTTATCAATAAGGAGCTATACTTGATTGTGCATAGTGGAAGGACCTGCTATAAGTATTCGTTCATCTTCTTTCTAATATCAGATCAATTTAAGTGCCTTTAGCCCTATGGGTTTGATTTTAGGTTAAGACTAATGTTGTAAATTGCGGAGGCGTGAGGCAAGGCACTAGAATCTTCTGATATGTGAGTGGTCTTTTAAAGGCATGCCTCAGGTATGCTTAGTCTCACAGGCTAGGCTCATTTTGTGGGTGTATACCTCTGAACCCAGGTGCGCCTCACCTGGCTTGTTGCTATGTTTTCATGAATTAACTTGAATTTGATGTTGGATTTGTAATTTTGTATATTGTAGATTATGATGCTTAGAGTGTAATCAATTACTCATGAGAGACTTGAACATACAAGGGTACAACCTTTGTGTTAATAACATGTATAATCTAACCAACTGTTTTTTTGAAATATTTTATTTCTTCCAGAATTTAGATTTTCATATTCTTGTGTAGTAAATTTTTATTTTGTTTTTTTTCCTAAAGGTGGTGCCTTGCTTCATTCAGGTGCATGCCTTGCCTTATGCCTCGTGCACTGGATTTTAGGAACTCCTTGTGCTTTAGTAATCCTCATGGCATGGGACTTAAACCTCATGAGATTTCATTATGTCAACAAAAGAATGAACTAATATGATAAATATAGGGCTATTTAAAAAGAGCTATATTTTTATATGAGAAAAATGCATAGATGAATTACTAATTATACAAACAATGACTGCTTTCGTAGAAGTCTTTTTAGACTATCAGGTTTAATGTAAGTCAAAACCAACAAAAACATAAAAATCTTATAATTGGTCTTTAAGTAGTTCTTATGATGAGAATCCTACTTCAACTAATGCATGAAATACATGATATTGGCATAATGCATGTGCACTATTCTTTTAGGTGTGATGCCTCTCTATTCTTTTGTACCTTATTTCTATTCTATTTACCCTTCTCCATTAACATGCCATTGGTGTACTAGACAAACTTAACCTTCATATAACAATATAAAAGTGTATGCGATACTATTTTAGACATAGTTCTCTTTGTGACCTTCTGAACTGTTTGGAAGGAGAGCAATCATAGGATATCTGATAGATTGGAAAATGTTTCCCATGTGTTACCTATAAAAAAGTTTCTCATGTATTTGTGCCAGTGGCCCAGTGCATGTAATTTCTTAAAGATTGAGTCTTGGCTTTTAAAGATTCCAACTATTTTAAAGGAAGGGAGTTTTGTTTTTGTTAGAGTTGGTCGAGTAAGGGTAACTTAATCTTTTCATTATAGTTTAAGTAGTGTAATGATGTGGCAATTCTTTTTTGTTTTTTTTTTATTTCTCTTGTCCCATACTTAAGTAGATGTATATTTGACTTTGTACCCTTATTTTATTATAATAGAGATTATGGTCGACTAGGAGGGTTTAGACTCTCTAGTTCTTCTTTCTCTTTCTCTTTGAACAAGACTTATTTGAACCACTAAAACATGGTATTAGAGCACTAAATAAAAGAGAGGAAGGCTGCGATCTCAAGTTCCTAGACCTGTGATCTCTTCTCTTCTTCTTTTCTCCTTTTCTCTGAGGTGCAATCTCAGTTGCACAGGTAGAAGACTGTGGCACATGCAATAGAAGGCTGTGGCAACCTTTTTTTTGGTGATCCAGGACTGCCGCAATCCCCATTACAGGTGTTAGGAAGGCGTGGCAGCCCTAGGTGAGTAGTTCTCATATTGCTGTCACCATGAGTGATAGCCCTAGTGGTTGTGTGGTGGTGTTTGTTGTGTTACAGACCCTCTACTGAGTAGTTTCAAGGTTTTTTTTTTCTTTGTTTGTGTTTGAATGGTGATGTGAGAAATAGTGTGGTTAACAGTAGTGGTGTGAGAAATCAGTTTTTTTTTGAAGGAGATGGCCGAATGTGTCTGAATGGTGGTATATGTTAGTGTTTTCTTATGGTGGCTGGTTGAGAAAGTGCCGTAAGGTGATGTGCAGATTGCAACAGTGTTGATTGAATAGCAGAAATCCTTTTTGTTGGTTGATAATTCAGAACTAGGAGAAATCTAGTGTATTGAGAACATAATGGCAGCAACTGGAGATGGTGTGGTGATCGGAAATCTAATGTGGTGATCCCCTCAGACTAGACCTGTTCATGGGTCAGGTCAGGCGGGCCGGGCTTTGTATATGTATCAACAGAATACACTCAGGCCCAAGCCCGAGCCCGAGCCCGGCTAGAAATTTGAAAACAAACTTTTTTTCTTCTTTTATTCAATAAAAAAGTGTTTTATTTATATTAAAAACCTTCAAAACTCAAAAATAAAAAAACATCTCACTATGACTTGGAAAAAAAGAGAAGAACAAAGAAAAATTTTTGTATATATATTTTTTTATTAAATAAAATTTATTTTTATTATTTAATATATAGTATCAAGTCGGGCTCAGCTCGGGCTAGGCTTTTTTGTTAAAGCCCGAGCCCGGCCCGCAAAAAGTCGGGCCCAGTGCTTTAGGCTCGAGCTTGAGCCTGCGGACCTAAAATTATGACCAAGCCCGATTTATAACGGGCCGGGCTGGGCCAACCCATTGGGCTACCTGGTTTATCAATAGGTCTACCTCAAACTATTTAGGTGTCCAGATGACATCAATTAAACTTAGTGGTGAAAATTATGTGCCATGGGCCAAGTCGTTGGAGGTTTTTCTCAAAGCCAAGAGGAACGTGAAACATGTGAATGAGATAAACCATCAGCTGACTCTCCAGGGTTTGATGACTGGGAACAAAAGAATGCCCAAATCATGACATGGTTATGGAACAGTATGGAACCCAAGATAAGTGCAAATTTTATGTTCTTAGATACAACTAAGGAAATATGGAATCATGCAACGAAACTTGATTTTGGACAAGACAATACTACAAGAGTATATCAGCTCTATCAGGAGTGCTTTAATTTACAGCAAGGAAATCAAACCCTTGAAGAGTATTATGCCAGTTTGAGGAACCTTAGGAATGAACTTAATGTCTATCACCCCCTCACTTCAGATGTCAAAATTCAGCAACAACAACGGGAGCAACTAGATGTAACCAGGTTTTTAGTAGGGTTGAAATCAAAATATGAACCAGTTAGAGCACAAATATTGGGAGGTTCTGCTCTTCCTACACTTGAGGAAGTATTTACTTGGCTCTGTAGGATTTCCCTAGGACCCATAGAGAGTACTACAACTTCTGACAGATTAGTGTTTGTTGTAGCGAGAAGAGGTGGATGTGGAAATAGAGGGGAAGGACATGCATTTCGAGGAGGCCGTGGTAGTCCCATGTTTGGTCGTGGTAGTGGAAGTGGTGGAGGTCGTGACTCAAGGGGAGGCCGTGGTAGAGGAAAAGGGCGCACTACTAGGAAGTGTACACATTGTGGCATGAAGGGACATTCAATTAATTTCTGTTATCATCTAGATCTACATGGCCCACCTTCCACATAAGCTAACCATGCAATTGTTAGTAGTGGTGATGTGAGTGATAATCAACAGACAGATCAAATACATTCTACATCTACATATGTTTTCAGGAAGGAGATGATGAGTGTACCACGAGATGAGTATGAGAGGTTCCTTCAGGCCATTTCACAATAGAAAACTGCTACCATTGCTCATCTAGGTATGGCTTGTCTGGCATCCAAACCTTCTCATTGGATCATTGGTTCTAGAGCCTCTGATCACATGGTCGGGTCTCCAGGTGTGTTCTCTTCCCTCTCTGAAACTTCCACATCCCAAACTGTTACTCTAGCCAATGGTTCTTCTTCTCCCATTTGTGGTGTTGGTGATGTTGATACTGCATCTCTTTCTTTATCCTCTGTTTTATATGTGCCCAAATTTCCATTCAACCTTATGTCTGTTAGTAAATTAATGAAGGCCCTTCATATTCTATCACTTTTTACCCTTCATCTTGTGTTTTTTAAGATCTCAAGATGGGGAAGAAGATTGGTGGAGGGCATGAAGTCGGTGGATTGTATTATTTTGACGGTGGTGGATCTTCAGTTGCACTTCAGACATTCCTGACTCCTCTCTAATGGCACTGTCGGCTGGGACATCTATCTCTCAAAGCTCTCAAGCTACTAGTTCCTTTTTTGAGTCATTTGTCTTCTTTGCAGTGTGAGTCATGTCAGCATGGGAAACACCATCGGGTTTCCTTTAGTCCTAGGGTTGATAGTAGTATGTTGTGTCATTTTGCTTTAGTCCATTCAGATGTTTGGGGTCTAATTAGAATTGAGTCTTATAATGGTTATAAGTATTTTGTCATTTTCATTGATGATTGTTCAAGGATGACATGGATTTATTTAATGAAAGAAAGAAGTGAATTGTTTTCTATTTTTCAAAAATTTCATGCTGAAATACATACGCAATTTGATGTTCCAATAAAAATTATTCATTCAGATAACAACAGAGAATACTTTCTTACTTCCTTTCAACAATATTTGGAACAACATGGCATCATTCATCAGGCCTTGTG